CCTGTGTAGTGAGTGTGGAACTTGTTTCCGTAAACACTCAAATCTGACCCAACACTTGAGAATTCATACAGGAGAGAAACCTTATAAATGTCACGAATGTGAGAAAGCCTTTCAAACAAAGGCAATTCTTGTTCAGCATCTGAGAATTCACACTGGAGAAAAACCCTATAAATGCAAAGAATGTGGGAAAGCCTTTTGCCAGAGCCCGTCTCTTATTAAACACCAGCGAATTCATACTGGAGAGAAACCATATAAGTGCAGTGAATGTGACAAAGCCTTCAGCCAGAGCATCTGCCTTACTCGTCATCAGAGAAGTCACTCTGGAGATAAACCTTACAAATGTAATGAGTGTGAGAAAGCTTTTAACCAGAGAGCATGTCTCACACAGCACAGGAGAACACATTCGGGAGAGAAGCCCTACACATGTACTGAATGTGGGAAAGCATTCAATCAGAGTTCGACCCTTGTTGAACATGAGAGAACTCACACTGGAGAGAAATATTATAAATGTAGTGAGTGTGAAAAAAGTTTCCGCAAGCAAGCACACCTCAGTGAACATTATAGAATTCATACTGGAGAGAAACCTTATGAATGTATCAAATGTATAAAATCCTTTAGGCACAGGTCAGCACTCATTCGACATCAGAAGCTTCATTCTGGAGATTAAAACTTGTGGTAGAATAACTGAAAAATAGCTATGAAACTGCCACTTTCCCCATCTCTGAATTCCAAGAAAGTGAAGAAAACGACTCAGAACTACATTGTCTTGAATTCAGTGGTGTTGCCGCCTGATGGTATGACATCATACAACGTACTTAATCCTATCTAAATGTCAGTTGCCCCATGTCTCAACAAAGGAATAATAGGTATACAGTAAACGACAATGGAGGTGGACATAGCTGGCCTCTGGCTTCCCTCCTGCTCTGAGACAGGATCAGATATGCCTCTGTGGTCCATCCTCCTTTACCTATCCTGACAACAACCGTTCCTCCCACATTACTCTTATGTTCATGCAGGACTCAATAAGTCATTGCAATGGCCACACAGATCTCAGACAATGAAGGGTGTTTATTAGGGACGCTAATAGAGTACTATACGTCAGGTTCAGCAAACAGTAAGTGTACAGCCATTGGTCCACAGCCACACCTCTCAGCCTGTTTCTCCAGTCCTCAGACTCAGACAGGTCCCTTGGCTTTGTCTCCGTGGGCCAGAAAGCCAGCCTGCCCATTGCTCAGTGTCACAGTTCCATAATCACAGACCCCATAAAGAGGAAGTACTTCGTCATCTCCGCACTGCTGCTCTGAGCTTCTGTACTAAGTGGCAGGTGCAGCTGCTCTCAGTGGCCTGTGCTTCAGCAGAGATCTTGGATGTGCTTTTCCAAATAGTCCTTGGATTTCTGTGTCCTATGGCTCTTACATACTGAGGAATGACTTTGATGGAGGGGTGGGTTATCTTTTACCGGCTCATACCACCAAGGAAAATGAAGGATGATTATCTTAAGTTACATCCTCAGGTAAAAGTCTTAGAGATGCCCCCAAGGGAACAAAGGATGTTACTTGGTTCACAACCCCTATTAAAGTCATGTCTTTATCTCACCCTAATCTTGCCCATCAGTATAGTAGAGAACACCCTTCAAAATGGGACTTCGAGTGTGACCACAGGAATAGGCCCAGAATTATGCATCACATCATGAATATTGGCTGGAAGGGCCATTAACTGACCACATATATAATTTATATATAACTAAATTATATATCATAGTTGCCATTAGTTGGCTTTGAGTTACATATATTCTGAAGTTTATATTTTAAAAATTCTGGCTATTGAAAATAGGTAAAACTAGCATTAGGCTTTTCAGTTCTTATAATGTTCTTTCTTTTTAAAAGAATGTACTTGTAGTTAAACTAAGATTTCATGCTTTCTCTACAGAAGCCTAAACTATCATGTCTGGATAAATGACAGAATACCACTTAAGACCAGTTCATCACTGCGAAAATTCAGATGTAGTCAGAGGGGCAAAGATCACTGGGATCTACATGGACAGTGTGAAGTGTACGTCTGCATATTGTCAAGCAATGTTAGATTTTGCTCCGCTCCTTTATTAGGTCTAGTTTTTCTTCAAACTTTAGTCATCTTTTTCCCATGAAAAACAGCTTCATGGAAGAAAGCATGATGATCTACTTCTGTAAGGATTGCAGCCAAGAAAACCCTGTAGAACAGATCAACTCTGGGTGGGTTTGAATCACCAACCCTTGGAATCGAAGTTGAGCACTTAACTGTACAGGGGTCCCTGACCACCAAGTAGTTGCCTTTAAAATGAAGCTGAGAACAGTGTCTTAGGAGACGTGTGGCTATGGGGTTGCCTTACAGCAACTTGCAGCTCCTGCTTGCTGCCTCTTCTCCCCCATGATCATTAATTTTAATAGCTTACAACAGTCACAGAGACTTTTCTATACTGATACCTGTGGGGTGCGGCCCCACAACCAAATGGGTCCTGAGGAACTGCAGTACAATTACAGCAAATAGAACGGGCAGGGTCTGGAGAATGAGATTTTCTAATGGGTTTATATAGTCATGGGGCTTACAAACCACCAGCAGGCACATAGAGAATGGAGGTGGGGGTAGGGTGGTGTACTAGCGGCACATACGTCTTAAGGTGAGCAGGTACTAGAGTTAGTGGTTTAACCTTGGAAGTACCTGAGCTGGCTCAACCATGGATATCCCTGAGCTCTCTCCAGGGGAATCTATGATCAGTATCAGAGGGCAACTGGCTGCATTTTGGGTGTGGTGGGCAATCACAAAGATAGCCTCTGAGCACATGGTGTGCAGCCAGGAGCAAGTAGGTGGCATCTTTAAAGTAGCACTTTGTGGGGACAATGATCTACCTGCAGAAGGTGTGCTGGGAGCCACTTCTCTGTGGGAGCCTTTTCCCACCAGACTCCGCTTTCTAAGCCTCGTGATGAGGACTATAGAGAACTTGGCTGCTTACATTTTCATCCAGTTTCTTGGTTTCCCATAAACACCTATATGCTGTTAATGAGAAAACTTACAAGTGAAAAAAGGCACCTCAAGGTTTGGGAGAGCTGCCAGAACGGAGCCTCCACTGTACCCAGGAAGGTGCTGCTTGGATGCTCACACCAGTCACCAAAAGATCACTTCAAGATCCCAAGCCCCTGGTTTGCAGGACTTCATTGAATATTTATAATGTGGGCCTGATGTATCATGTTGTTAGGTACCATCAAGTCAGTTACAATAAAAACATGCAGGATACCATTAGGGTCCTCTCTTTCCTGAAGCTAGTTCACCAGGGATGGCATCGGTAGCCTCTACTTGCTGGACTATTTAGGAAGAGAAAAGCATGTTATGTTCAGAAACCAGGGTCAAAGGGCCAAACCAAGTTCTTTTTCCCACGGGGTAGGATCAAGTGGGCAGTGTCAAGTATGGAAGTCTGTGCACCCCCACCCTAAGAGGTCTGTGGGGAAAAAAAGCTTTAGAGAGACTCATTCATTCTAAATACTTTTATTGTACAAGGTTCTATTCTTGGTACTGAAGATGGAGCAGTTGGTAAAACAAAGTCTGCCCTCAAGACTTCCACCTTCAGATACAGCTGACTACAATTGACAGTAAGTAAAACAGTGTGGTATTGGTACAAGACTATGTTTAGCAATGATACAGATAAGAAAATTGGGTGGGTTTGTGGGGGTAAGAATACAAGGGGGTATAGATGAGTGGTTTCAGCTGTTGAATGCAGAGTTGATGGTCTGGAATGTAAAGCTCCCAACCTCATTCACACTAAAACATCCATTAAAACAAAAAAAAAAAGCAAAACAAAATACAAGCTTGGCTGATAGAACAAGTTAGTATGCATTAGAAACAGGATTATAGAATGGCTTCAAGACTAATTTGAATGATTCACGAGAACCTGTTTCAAGAAGCAGCAGTTAAGAAATCAAAGTACTGCATGGGGAAAGTTTGCCACAAAAGATCTGTTTTAAAGTTAAAAAGCAAAGAGGTTGCTTTGAGGTCTCAGGTACACCTGATCCAAGCCTGGTCTTTTCAATCTTCTCCTATGCACGTAAAAGCTGAACAATGAATTGTGGCTTTTGATTTATAGTGTGGGCAAAAAATATCGAGGAAGTACTTTAGAAGCAAGGCTAGCAGGACTTTGTCTCCTGCACTTTGAACATGTGATTGGCAAGGAGGAGTTGATGGAGAAGGACATCATGTCGGGTAGAGAGTCAGCAACAAAGAGATGGATCGACACGGGGGCTACAACTAGGTTCTCAAACGTAGCAAGGGCCACAAGGATGGCACAGCATGGGAAGGGTTTCACTGTTGACTCGGGGTTGCTGTGAGGTGGCCTTGTTAACATCTTCAGGACTCCCCGGGCCCCCACATGGTCGCTTTTGAGTATTCTTTGCAGTAAGAGGTTAAAACGGACGAAGAGATGGATGTGGCGCCACAGTCATGATAAAGATGTCCTGAAATTAATGGTTACACAGGGATCCGGTGGTAGAGGATGCAATATTTGCGCCCTCACACTGCCACCCGTTTTAGTTATTTGACTTACTGTCAGGAGGTAAACTATCAGGCTTAAGCAATCTCAAGGAATGATCTGGAAAGGCTCCAACTTTATAGTGCTCACCTCCACCCCTGACTAAATTTTAATCTTTCTTCTCGCACATAGCCCTGCCAGTTTAGTGGATTATGAGTGTAGGGTCAGAAGTTCGAAACCACCAGGCGCTCTAACAGAGAAAGGGGCAGTTTTCTGCTCCTATAGAGATTTAAAGCCTCAGAAACCTACAGAGCCAGTTCTACACTGTCTGTAAGGTCACCAAGTCAGAACTGGCTCAAGGGCAGTGAGTTCTTTTCACCTAAATAGACATAAATGGATCATAAAGAATGCTCTAATTCCTTTCAAAATCAGTGAGATACACATATGGTTCTAGGGCAATTAATTATTTAAGTGATAAGTGTCCTAATATAAATTCCATATGAAGTATAAAACAATATAGACAATTCTTTATTTGATATAGCGGTTGGGAATCAAAGAACAATGAAAAAATTAGATGGGGAAAAAGAAAGCCCCAAATTTCTCAATTGTTCAAAACCATCAGCGCTGTGGGAGAAAAACGAGGCTTTCTACTTAAAAAGAGTTACAATCTTGGAGGTCTACAGGGGCAGTTCCACCCTGTCCTGTATGCGTCAATATGGAAACAAAAAAGTCTAGATAGTAAGTTAATAAGAAACCCACAACTAAAGTACTGAAAAATGAACAAAAAGTTAGTGAAAAGCCAACAAAATGGACCACATACGTATGAAAGTTTAGCCCCTTCCTAGGAGAGCAAAGAACTTTCCATTAACAGAAATTGCTCAATTGCATTATCTACATATCAAAGTGATGAAAGTGACAGGGCTGGCACTAGTCCAAGTCCAGCGCAGTCACGGGTTGGGGGGAAACACGCCCTCAGAGGGTCATGAGGCTACGGGGGGTAACTTCTCTTGGAAGCAGTTTGACAGTTAGCATTGATGGCTTTAAAATGATTTAAATACCTAGAGCCAATTAACTCTGCTTCTGGCTATTCTCAGTGAATCATGAGAAATATACTCAGATTTCTGAAGACCAATTCTGAATTGCTCTACTAGCTGTTTACTATTGGAGTTAGGAGAGCATTTGGCTGCATTTAACAGAAACCTGATGAGGCTTCAGTAGGCAGGGCGATTATTTTGCTTCTGTAGCACAAGGCCCAGAGGCTGACAGTTGATGCGGATGCTGCAGTCTCTGAGACATGCCTGCAGGGGTGACAGACAGCTTCTTGAACCTTCCCACTGTACCTCCTAGTGCCAGTGGCCACTCTCCTTCATCCTGAACATGGCTCTAGGGCTCTCAGGTCTCCCTTCTGTGCTCCAGACAGGATGAAGGGAGAAGGGTAAGTGTACGTGTTTGCCAAGTCTGTCCTTTTAGACCCAAGCATCTACATAGTTTTCTCTTTACTCCCAGGACAGTCATGTTAAGACCAACCCTAGCAGGAGCCTGAGATGTGTTTTCATCTAGGTGCCTTATCATCTCCCCCCTAAAGTGGGGTTCTGCTAATGAAGAAGATGCACGGGTGATCCATGTCATTAGGAAATCCCCTATCCTATTGATGTGAGGCTTTGAATTTTATTGATGTGGAGAAATGGCTGTAATGTTAAGTGAGAAGCTAGACATAAAACATACATCACACAATGTAAATTGTGTTATAAAAAGCATAATGTATATACACATCCCCACACACGTGAAATAATAAAATACCACTAGTTAATTTTTTTGTGGTTGGCATTTTGCATCTGAGCATTGGTGAGCAGTTTTATTAATTTTCTCCCATATTTTTTATAATGAACTTGTCTGACTTTTATAAAGACAAAATGTTATTTTAAAAAATATCCCATAAACTAAGTCCAAAATATGTACAATTACTCGTTTTCATCATCATTGTCAAAAGAAAGGAGGCTGCTATTTCTGATTTGCTTTTGTGAGTTCTTTGTAACCGAGTCCTGCTTACTCATTTCCTCTTCATTCGTCCTCTTCTTTTTGGAGCTTGCTGTCAAACCCGAGTATTTTTCATCAGAGGAACGCTTGACTGGTTTCCGGTACATGATTCTTCCATCGGCCGACGCGGGTTCTTCATCTGTAGCAAAAAGAAAATGAAAGAACCTTCTTCCCTCTGGTCCATGTTACCTTTGTAAAGGCAGCTGCTGTCAAGTTGATTCCAACTCATAATGACCCAAGGTGGGTCACAGAAGTGTGCTGCACGGTTAGGGGGAAAAAAAAAGGATGCCTGGCCTTCTCCACTCTCTTAACTGTAAACCCCCAAGACATGCAGAGACTCAACACATTCTCACTGCGGCATGCCATAATGTGTCAGTGCCTGGGTAATTACAACAAGTTTACAAATCGTTTGAAAAGTGCACTGTTCGGAGCACTAGCATTGCTGCTTGAAAACACTGCAAGACATGTTTAGGAATTAAAACAAATACACACAACCGGTCCCCCAATAAAGTGATTTAAAGAAAAACAAACAAAAAAATCACAACCGGTACTAATTATAATTAAAAAGACCTTTCTTGACTGGTTTATAAACCAGAGTACCTTATGTTACATGGATACATTTCCTTAAATTCACACCTGATGCTCTAACCATCCAGTAAGGTACTGTAATGACTGTCCCCTTGAAGGGTAAGGAGAAGTGACTTGCTCAAGGTCCCACATCTGTCTACTAAGCGTTGAAGCCAAGCTCCCAGTAGGATTGCTTCTTTAACCCTGTGTGCCTCACGTCCTACCACTGCAGAAGCAAAGCCATCTCATACTCGAGGCTCCTTACACTTCTAGGCAAACCACGCTGCTTTCAGACATACCTGCTTTGGCTGCCTTAATCTCTGCTTTAATTTTCATGACTTCTTCAGCTGACAGATCTCCTTTTTTCAAAACCACGACTTGGGGTTGTTCGTCATCTTTGTCGCTGTGGTCACCATCTTCTTCCGGGAGCTGAGGCTGGGTTCTCTAGAAGGGAGCACAGGCTGCAGGTTGCTGACCTTGACCCAACACTACCTACCGGCTCTGAGAAACTGATGAGCTTGAGAGCTTTGCTGAATGACACGGGATTTTAAAGTACCGTAATCCCAAATAACCCACCTCACCACCCCAGGGAACAGGCTCACTGCCAGGCATCAAGGGGGCTCATCTAGTGGGGCCATTTCCAAGGACCCCAGCTTTCCGCTTTCAGTGTGGGGACGCTCTAGATTATGGGCTCCGGGCAGTTTGGACGCTGCTCCTCAGCAGTGGTCTCAACAACCCCGCCTCCCCCCTCAGAATTAAAAGGGACAAGCCGCAGGAAGTCCAACCTCTGCTCATCCGTCTCCCTTCCAGCAGCCTCGGCAACCTTTCCGCCTCTTTCTAAGTGTGCACGAACAGGCAGACAGAAAACATTTTGTGTTCTCAAAGGAGACTACTTGGTTGACTTGCTTGTCCCCCACCCATCCTTTTCCTTACTAGTTTAGATGATGAGATTTCTCAAATATTAAAAAAAGCACCACATTTTTTGCACATAAGGAACTCATATCACATATAGGAAACTAATGCCTGAGGGGATCGATTGCGTGGTTTCAGAGAAAAATGTGTAACCTACTTGTTTGCGTGAGACTATAGCATGGGGACTGTATATTACAAAGAATGTATAGTGTACACATCACAGCTACCATGGACACACTATGTATCTGCAACAAATGCCAACAGCCAATTCAGATTTTTCTGAAAAACTAGATACCATGAAAGCCTCTCCTAACATTTTACATAAAATATCTTTTATAGATATTTTAAATATCTCTATACAGATATCTATATCTAACTATACAGAGATTTTTGAAGAACACTGTCCAGTATTTTATTACGTATATTTGTTTACCCAAGCCAAATATTGCTATCCAGGCAGATGTGACTCAGAGTAACCATATAGGACAGAGCAGAAGTGACCCAACCGGGGTGCCTAGTTTGTAATCTTGACAGCAGCAGGTGACCACATTTTTCTTCCATGAAGCATCTAGTGGGTTTGAACTGACCTTTTGGTTAGTAGCCAAGCTTTTAAACCTCTGTACCACTAGGACTTATTATTTGTCCACCAGTACTCTGTAAATGAAACATTTGGCTGTTTCTGAGTTTTTCCTATTAAAAGAACTTCTCAAATACATTCTGCTCATGCTTGTGAACTTACAAGTAAGAAACACTCATGCAAGAAATGAAATTGCTGGGTCGAAAGGCATGCACAACAAAATGAGTTTTTGGTCATCACAAGATACAGCGTCAGGGGTCATGAAGGCTTGAAGGTAAACAAGCGGCCATCTAGCTCAGAAGTAACAAAGCCCACATGGAAGAAGCACACCAGCCAGTGCGACCATGAGGTGTCGATGGGATCAGGCATCATCAGAAAAATCTTACCATAGTGAATGAGGGGGGGAGTGGAGACCCAAAGTCCATTTGTAGGCCACTGGACATCCCCTTACAGAAGGGTTTCAGGGAGGAGGCGAGCCAATCCGGGTAGGATGTAGCAACAATGAAAAATACAACTTTCCTCTAGTTCCTAAATGCTTCCTATACCCCCGCACCCTCCACTATCATGATCTGAATTCTGCCTTGCAAGTCTGGCTAGACCCGAGGATGTACACTGGTACAGATAGGAACTGGAAACACAGGGAATCCAGGGTGGATGATCCCTTCAGGACCAGTGGTGTGAGTG